AAAAAAAAAAAAAAAGTAGTAATAAAATAAATAAACTGACTTTCTGCAACAACACAATCTATCCCATAATGTTATTAATAAATAAAACACTCTGCTCAAATAAGGGGAATCCACACATGCCCAGAAATCCAAGCTGGGTTGTGGGACACGCCGTTCAGAGACACAGAAGGACAAACACGCAGTCGCTCACAAACTTACAGAATCTCGTAATTGCCAAGGACTTCCTTTGGGGGCGACTTGTTCCATTTGCAGTCTGGAATTTCGCCGTTGGGGACGGCAATGTTGAGGGTGTCGTTAATCAGGTTATACTTGAGGATTCGATCGTTGGCAGTGCTGGAGGTGAGAGACGGGGACGCGTTCACCTGTGAGAGGAAAAGACCCACGTTCCTCACCTGCTCCTCTCTCTCTTTCGGAATGAAAACGCGCACTGTGGAGGAGATTCTGCCTGCTGCACACTTCAGGAAGGTTGTTGTGCTGGGCGCAGTGGCTCACGCCTGTAATCCCAGAACTTTGGGAGGCCAAGGCGGGCAGATCGTGAGGTCAGGAGTTCAAGACCAGCCTATCCAATATGGTGAAACTCCATCTCTACTAAAAATATATACATAAAAATTAGCCGGGTGTGGTGGCATGCTCCTGTAGTCCCAGCTACTCGAGAGGCTGAGGTAGAAGAACTGCTTGAACCCAGGAGGTGGAGGTTGCCGTGAGCTGAGATCGAGCCACTGCACTCCAGCCTGGGCAACAAAGAGACAGACTCCATCTCAAAAAAAAAAAAAAAAAAGAAAAGAAAACTAAAACAAGCAGCATTCTAACTCAAATGATGAATCCTTCCAACACATGGAAAGGTAGTCTCATAAGGCCTCTGAGAAGCTAAGCAACGTCATGAAATCCATACATTCAAATGTAGACATTCACTTTGCTCTGTGGAGAGTCCCATAGGCCCTCGGTCACTGTTTTTTTGTTTGTTTGGTTGGTTTTTTTGAGATGGAGTCTCGCTCTGTCACCCAGGCTGGAGTACAGTGGCGCCATCTCAGCTCACTGCAAGCTCTGCATCCTGGGTTCAAGCAATTCTCCTATCTCAGCCCCCTGAGTAGCTGGGATTACAGGTGCCAGCCACCACGCCTGGCTAAGTTTTGTATTTTTAGTAGAGATGGGGTTTCACCATGTTGGTCAGGCTGGTCTCGAACTCCTGATCCGCCTGCCCTAGTGTTCCAAAGTGCTGGGATGACAGCCGTGAGCCACCGTGCCCAGTCAGTCCCTGCTTATTTACTCATATTTTGTGCACAGTTCTAATGACCTTGGTTAACTGTTTCAGGCCATGGGAGATTAAAGGGGGCAAATCTGCAAGCTGTTCAGGTTTCTCCCAGTCAGACTGCCTCTCTGTGATGCTAGCAGCGTATTGAATGTGTACTGTGCCAAAGAATTGCACAGACCTCACTGTCCTCAAAATGACCGCTGTAGTATAGCATAATACTATAATTCTTATTATGAATACATGAAACTTAAAAATTGTTATTAGGCTGTGTGCGGTGGCTCACACCTATAATCCCAGCACTTTGGGAGGCCGAGGTGGAAGGATTGCTTGAAGGTAGGAGTTTGAGACTAGCTTACAACACAGCGAGACCCGTCTCTACAAAAAAAAAAAAAAATTATCTGGGAGGAGTGGCACACACCTCTGGTCCCAGTCTTGTCAAGGTGAGAAGATCGCTTGAGCCAAGAGTTCAAGGCTGCAGTGAGCTATGATGGTGACATTACAATCCAGCCTGGACCACAGAGTGAGACTTGGTCTTTTTTTTTTTTTTTCGAGATGGAGTCTTACTCTGTCACACAGGCTGGGGTGCAGTGGCATGATCTTAGCTCACTGCAACCTTTGCCTCCCAGGTTCAAGCTATTTCTCCTGCCTCAGCCTCCTGAGTAGCTGGGATTACAGGCGTGCATAACCATGCCCAGCTAATTTTTTTGTATTTTTGGTAGAGACAAGGTTTCACCATGCTGGCCAGGCTGGTCTTGAACTCCTGACCTCGTGATCTACCCGCTTCAGCCTCCCAAAATCCTGGTATTACAGGCATGAGCCACTGTGCCTGGCCTGGTTTTTTTTTTTTTTTAAGAGACCAAGTCTCAGGCTGGGTGTGGTGGTTCACGCCTGTAATCCCAGCACTTTGGGAGGCTGCGGTGGGTGAATTATGAGATCAGGAGTTCAAGACCAGCCTGACCAACATGGTAAAAACTTGTCTTCACTAAAAATACAAAAATTAGCCAGGTGTGGTGGCAGATACTTATAATCCCACCTACTCGGGAGGCTGAGGCACGAGAATCGCTTGAACCCAGGAGGTAGAGGTTAGCAGTGAGCTGAGATTGTTCCACTGCACTCCAGCCTGGGTGACAGAACAAGACCCCATCTCAAAAATTAAAAAATACCCAAAACACTAAGGTTTCCAAAGGAGGGAGGGAAGAAAAAGGCAAGGGTTTAAAAACTCCCTACTGAATACCATGTTCACTATTTGGGTGACAGGTTCAAGACAAGCCCAAAGCCCAGCATTTCGCAATACATTCATGTAACAAACCTGCACGTGTGGCCCCTGAAACTAAAATTAAAAAAAAAAAAAAAAAAAAGGGCTGGGAGTGGTGGCTCACACTGGTAATTCCAGCATTTTGGGAGGTCAAGGCAGGAGGATCACTTGAGCCCAGGAGTTCAAAACCAGCTTGGGTAACATAGTGTAACCTCATCTCTACAAAAAAAACAAAAACATTAGCCAGGCATGGTGGTATGTGCCTGCAGTCCTATCTACTTGGGAGGCTGAGTCAGGAGGATCACTTGAGCCCAGAAGCTGGAGGCTGCAGTGAGCTATGATTGCACCATTGCCTCTAGCCTAGGTCACAGAGTGGGACCCTGTCTCAAGACAGAAAAAAAAACAAAGAATCGTTGGCTGGGTGCAGTGGCTCACTCCTGTAATCATAGCATTTTGGGAGGCCAAAGTGGGCGGATTGCCTGAGCTCAGGAGTTCGAGACGAGCCTGGGCAACACAGTGAAGCCCCGTCTTTACTAAAATACAAAAAAATTATCCGGGTGTGGTAACATGCGCCTGTAGTCCCAGCTACTTGGGAGTCTGAGGCAGGAGAATTGAATTGCTTGAATACAGGAGGCAAAGGTTGTGCCACTGTGCTCCAGCCTGGGCAACAGAGAGCAACTCTGTCTCAAAAAAAAGAAAAAAGAAAAAAGAATAGTAGCGATGTTCCTTCCTCAGGAGTCTGCTCCTGCTGGCCAAGGGCTTCTGAAGCTGTGAGCTGCTTTCCTAGACGGGAACACTGTCACCCAGGTGACAGGAAGGGTACAGGACTGAGGGAGGATGGACTAGCCCAGAGGCACCCTGGAGGTGTTGCAGCCACCAGGTTCATGTGAGATGGGCCGCAGCTCCCTGTGGTGGGCCGGGCACTGGGAGAGGAGCAATGCAGAAATGTGCTTTTACCTCACCCAACAGCAAGCCATCCAACCTGAACATCAGTCCCCTTCTTGCCTGGCCTGAGAAACATCTGGGGCCTGGGGGACTGCCAGGCCCAAGCTGGGACATAAGCGTGTTGGGGGCTGTGTGCGGTGCGGCCAGGTGTGGGCGCTGCCGCGCTTACCTCGATCAGCCAGGGTTTCAGCTTGTCATCAATAATGATGTCGTAGCCATAGCATTCAAAGCAGTGTTTGTCATTGTTCATCACCGGCTGAGGAGAGAGTGACCAGCGGGTTACAGGGCCAGCACTGAAGGGCGCAGCAGAGACCAACGCCTCAGAGACAAGCAGGATCGTCCCCACGGTCCCAACCTCCCACGGCAAGGGTTCCCATCCTCCAACCCAAAGGCTTCCTTCCCTTCTTTCCCTCTTCCTCCCACAGAGCTTGGAGACTGGGCACTTTTCTTGGCATGATAGAGAGAACTGATGAAGCTGTAATGGGCGTCTCTGCATCTTACTCATCAGAGGCTTGACTAGTACCCAAGCTGGCGTGAGACTGGCATGAGAGTGGACAGACATCCTGCTCCAAGCCCAGAACCCGCAGTGACAGACTGGGTGGCCTTATCATAGACAAACACAGACTGTCCACCAGGCTGCCCGTCGCCCCGTCCCAGGCCCTTAGGGAGCCGGATGCCAGACTATTAAACTCTGTTCCCAGTGATAAATGTAAATCCATTTACAAACAATTTTTTACAGACAGCATCTCTGTCCTGGCTCAGGCTGCACGCAGGTCTAACTAGGTTCCTCTGAGGGCCTCAGAGCCACCTCCCATCCTGCACCAGGCCCCTCCCATGTGCCAGTTTCCTGGGCTGCCTCACTATGAGAACAACATGTCTGGTAAAAACCAGGTGATGAACTACTTGCTAAGTGAATAAAAACTGAATACATAAATCCCTGCTCCAAAGACCCGCAGAGCCTTAGAAATCTATGAAAACAGCTTTTTAGTTCACAAAACTGAGGCCCAGAAAGAGCCAATCAGAGGCACTTGCCAGAGGGCTATGCTGAGGGAATACAGGTTTCCTTGAAAACAGCTAACTTTTTCTCGAATGTCTGCCAATCCAAGGAAGACTAAAATGGGCTAGGAAGGGAGAGCAAAGGGCTGGGGAACTGGGTATTACAATTCACACAATCACGTGTTAACAGATTAATGGCATTTAACTATTCCCAAACACGAAGTGCAGAGCACTGTTCACGTACACCCCATGACACTGGTGTCACAGTCCCAATTTCACAGATAAGGCATCTGAGGCTCAGTAAGAGGAGGCTCTTGAGCTAAGTCTCCTTTTGGCTCATGATGGGGCCTGGCATGAAATCAGATCTGAACTCCACACTCGTTACCCGTCACTCAAGCTGCAACCCAAGCCACCAAGGCATAAGGAGCTTCAGTGGGACACGAGATGGGGCACTCAGCCCCTAAGACGAATTTCCAGCAATGAACTAGGTCCTGAGGGTTTTATCTATCCGGATTCTCACTGTAAGTCAAAGACACAGAACAGGGCCAGGCACAGTGGCTCACATCTGTAATCCCAGTACTTTGGGAGGCCGAGGCTGGCGGATCACGAGGTCAGGAGGTCAAGTCCAGCCTGACCATGGTGAAACCCAGTCTTTACAAAAAACACAAAATTAGCTGGGCGTGGTGGTGTGTGCCTGTAATCCCAGCTACTCAGGAGGCTGAGGCAGGAGCATCACTTGACATGGAGGTGGAGGTTACAGTGAGTCGAGATTGCGCCACTGCACTCCAGCCTGGGCAACAGAGCAACACTCCATCCCAAAAAAAAGACGCAGGACGAACCCACACACCGTGCTCACACACCACTTTGAAAGCTGGAAGACCTTCACTCGAAGTGCAGAAAGTCAAGGCGCCCACCAGACATCATTTCTTTCTTTTTTTTTTGAGACAGTTTCGCTCCTTTTGCCCAGAATGGAGTACAATGGTGTGATCTTGGCTCACTGCAAATTCTGCCTCTTGGGTTCAAGCGATTCTCCTGCCTCAGCCTCACAAGTAGCTGGGATCACAGGCATGCACCACTACACCCAACTAATTTTGTATTTTTAGTACAGATGGGATTTTACCATGTTGGCTGGGTTGGTCTTGAACTCCTGACCTCAGGTGATCCGTTGCCTCGGCCTCCCAAAGTGCTGGGATTACGGGTGTGAGCCACCATGCATGGCTGAAAACAGTGGTTTTATTTTTGTTTTCTGAGACAGAGCTCTGTTACCTAGGCTAGAGTGCAGTGGTGCAATCTTGGCTGGCTGCAACCTCTGCCTCCTGGGTTCTAGCGATTGTCCTGCCTTAGCCTCCTGAGTAGCAGGGATTACAGGTGTGTGCCACCACACCCAGCTAATTATTTTATTTTGAGTAGAGATGGGTTTCACCATGTGGGCCAGGCTGGTCTTGAACTCCTGACCTCAGGTGATCTGCCGTCTCGGCCTCCCAAAGTGCTGGGATTACAGGTGTGAGCCACTGCACCCAGCCCAAAACAGGTATTTTTAACAAAAGAACAGCAAGCCCCACCACTCCTAAATGTGCCCTTAGAGCCAGCTCCCCCACCCACACCAACACACCGCCACGGCCTTCAGGGACTGTACGATGATCCAGTGGATCTCGTCGAACAGCTTGCTGGTCACCTCCTTGCCGCGGGTGCTCTCCAGGTAGAGCCGCAAGTTGCTGACCGTCCACTTGCCCCCGTGGATGTGGTTGTAGTCGTCCTGGCAACAGGAAAGCAGGTAGGCGTCGCTCAGGCTGTGCACCCCAGAGGAACCCAGTGGAACCCTTTCATTGCCCAAGCATTTCAGGAGTGTCCCCTAGGTGCGGGCGTCCAGCAACAAGGCAGATGGGACCTCTGCCCCAGGAAGATCTGGGCACATATTTTCTGTTTTTTTTTTTTTTTGAGATGGAGTCTTGCTCTGTCGCCCAGGTTGGAGTGCAGTGGCTCGATCTCAGCTCACTGCAAACTCCGTCTGCCGGGTTCAAGGGATTCTCCTGCCTCAGCCTTCGAGTAGCTGGGATTACAGGCACCAGCTACCGTGCCCAGCTAATTTTTTTCTTTTTTTTTTTTTTTTTTTTTAGTAGAGACAGGGTTTCTCCATGTTGGTCAGGCTAGTCTCAAACTCCCGACCTCAGGTGATAGCCCTGCCTCGGCCTCCCAAAGTGCTGGGATTACAGGTGTGAGCCACCATGCCGAGCCCTAATTTTTGTATTTTTTAGTAAAGATGGGGTTTCACTGTGTTAGCCAGGATGGTCTTGATCTCCTGACTTGGTGATCTGCCTGCCTTGGGCAGGCCACCTATTTTCTGTTTTGTTTTGAGATAGGTCTCATTCTGTCTCCCAAGCTGGAGTGCAGTGGTGTGACTTTGGCGTTAGCAGCCATGACCTCTAGAGCTTAATCGATCCTCCCACCTCAGCCTCTCAAGAAGCTGAGACTACAGACATGTGTCATCACGCCTGGCTAATTTTTTTTTTTTTTTTTTGAGATGGAGTTTCGCTCTTGTTACCCAGGCTGGAGTGCAATGGTGCAATCTCGGCTCACCGCAACCTCCACCTCCCGGGTTCAGGCAATTCTCCTGCCTCAGCCTCCTGAGTAGCTGGGATTACAGGCACGCGCCACCATGCCCAGCTAATTTTTTGTACTTTTAGTAGAGACGGGGTTTCACCATGTTGGCCAGGCTGGTCCTGAACTCCTGACCTCAGGTGCTCTGTCTGCCTCATCCTCCCAAAGTGCTGGGACCGTATAGGCAGGAGCCACCGTGACCGGCCTTATATGGGTATTTGTAAATGCTCATCTTCCTAATACTCTCAAGATTAATCATTTATGCCTCACAGCAAGGCTGTGGAGCGCTGCCGGGATACCCTTCAAAACCAAGGCGCTCATTCTTCCAGCTGAGACCCACACTGGGAGTGCCCTTGGCTTGAGGGAGTGCCCTAATCCAGGGTTGAAGCCCTCCTTAAGGGCAGCAGCATTCCATGTCTGTCTGAGGCCAGCTGTCAGCCCCTGGTCCCTCCAGGACAGCTCTGCAGGGACATCCCTGCTCCACAGCGCCCCGGCGTGGGCTGAGGCCTCCACTGCAGCAAGATCACAGCTCGATTCTCCCTCTGCTGGGTCCGTTCACCTCCCTCACAGGTGTTGCCCCTGACACTGGGCCCCAGGAAACCTCCTGAACACTGACTTCTCCCTCAGAGTCTTTCCTGGGGAAGCCAACCTAAGACACACCAGGGCTGTGCACTACAGTTTAAAAGCACCACACCCATAATTCTCTAACAACTTTGAGAAGTCACCATCATCATCCCACTTCACAGGGAAGGCCGGGCTCAGAGAAGCTGTTACTTGCCCAAGCTTTCCTCCTGGGCTGGGATGGAGCTGGGCGCCCAGCCCAAATGTTCTGATGCCAGTTCTGCGCCCTTTCTGTTTTGCCACCCCTGAAAATTAATTATCCATACAATGCTTGCCTTTGAAGGCAAAGAGCTAGAAAATACCGGAGTGTATTACATTGTTGGGGGACTGCGATTTCATTTTCTAAGTATTAAGTGAGAACCATGAACTGAACAAAACCAGCCTACTAACTGCTCAAGCAAACAGCACTGACTCAAAGCAGATAAAAGGAGAATTAAGCCATATTTTAAAATAAAGTCCAGGTGTGGTGGCTTATGCCTGTAATCCCAGCACTCTGGGAAGCTGAGGCGGGAGGATCACCTGAAGTCAATAGTTTGAGACCAGCCTGGCCAAGATGGTGAAATCCCTTTATTTATTTATTTTTTTAACCTTTTTTTTTTTTTTA